AAAATTTACACACATCTACGGAGATAGAATATTTAATTCTCACAAAATATTACACTCTACAATATAAATTTTATTGTATAACGAAAGTATTATCTGGTTATGTATGACATTTGAAATTTCTTTATCGAATAATTCATCTCGACTTAATCGTTCTAAATGTAGAAACGAAAATTCCAATGGCGATGTATTAACAAGCATAAACTGCGTGAAACATTAACACTAGAACTACGGAGATAATCAAAATGACACAATAAGTCATAATTTCTGTTACAGACATAAAACAGCGTATTTTCAGACTTGAAATGATCTTCCATAGAATACATAAATAAGCTTGTGTTACATCGAGTACATGCTCGTCATGAAAAGAATGGAATTTTTTTTTTTAATATCGAGTGTACTCGTCGCGTAGAGAAAAATTCGCTTTTGCTGTTTATTGTAAAATTTAGGTAAAATTATATACTTGCAATTTTCGAGACAAAACCAATAAAAATGGAAATTTTTCAAAGAAACACTAAAAGAATTTATCATTCTACAGGGCATTTACTGTGCTATTCTCGCCGTTATTTCTGACGGAATGATCAAGCACAGTGCAGCACATTTTCAAAATAAACGCTTATGGGATTAACATCTCTTAACGGAGTATATCTTGTAAATTTTACATCGCGGGCAACGTAGGAACGAGAAAGAAACGAAATCCACGCCGGAGTACGGCAACGCGGGTGTAACCTCATGCGTACCTACACCCTGGATCGGGCCACGAAGGCCACACGCCAAATATCGATTCTCGCTAAACTCGAAATGGATATGGAAGCCGGAAGAATGTTGGAATTTCCTAGCGGGTTGCGAGGCGGGGTTGGCATCGATAGCGTTTCCCTACGGGACACCTCGCCTCTTATCTTTCCCGATCTGTCCTCCCAACCTCTGTCATAATTTCTTCTCCCTGTCGCTTCCCTTCCTCCCTCAAGAAAGAACGGAAAGAAATGAGAGAAAAGCGTGGACACGTTTCGCAATCGAACCCCCTTTCGAATCGCGTCGCGTCGACAGACGAAAGAATTCGAAGGTCTGGAAATGACCACGTTGGCCACAATTGCAGTTTGCGTTTTAACAGGAATAGCCTCGGCTGATATTTATACACCCTAGAAACGTTTCTCTCTCTTGCCTGCGCCGGCAGAAAGAGAGAGAGCACGCACCGAGAGCGCCGTACAGCAATGGAATTCGCTGGTTCCACGGAAAGTGGAATTAACTCGATTCGGAATTCGACGATAACGGGCACATCGATAACGATTCGTTCCCTCCCCTCCTTCCGGTTGACGGAAAATTACACGACGAGGAACGACGTAGAGAGAGAGAGAGAGAGAGAGAGAGAGAG